TCTCAACTAAGGGCCATTTTTGCCTCCCAGGGGACATGTGGCAGTGTTTAAAGACATTTTTGATTGTCACAACTAGGGGACTAGGGTGCTACCAATATCTAGTGGTGGAGGCTAGGGATGCTGTAAAGCAGCCAGAAATGCACAGGACAGCTCCACATGGCAAAGAATTATCTAGTCCCAAATGTCCAGCACTATTACTGAAAAGCCCTGATTTACATACAGTAAAAACTTACTAAAGATCAGCACAGTGGGAAAATGGAGAAGGTTTTTAGGAAACAGCCAATAGTTGAGTTAGAGGGATAAGAGAGAGGGGAAGTGGAAAAGCAGGTTTGAAACAGATCATACTATTCATGTTTATTCTTTATCTTAGAAGACAGTGAGTTACTGTTTTTCCTTTTGTGGTTAATATTTGAAGCTCTGTGTAAATACCCTGTTTCTCCTTGAACTTTTGTCCATTAATTTTAGCATTCATCAGTAGATCTGCCTGCATCAGTTTTTATTACTATGGTGTTTTAATGATTTTCTATTTCTCTCATTCCCTCTATATTTATTAATTTGGATTCCTCTGTAAGGAAGAATTTCTCTTATTTAGTTATTTAATCATTTATTTCTATCAAGACGGATTTGTGGATATTTATTTCATTTTTTGGATTATTATCTAATACTATTGTTATTTATTTTCTTGCTCTAACTGTTCCAGTTTGGGCCATTGACAGCTCTACCAGGTTGGCTTCTAAATCCATTTAACATGCCCCATTCCTGTTTTTTTCAATTTTTTTGCTGGGGTTTGGGGAGTGTGGGGGGAATAAATCTGACTGCCCTGTTTTTCTTTTAATTCTGGCACCATGAGATAGACCAGACTTGTCTTTTATATTTTTCCTGTTGCAGCACTAGAATCAACCAGTTTTCCAAGGAATCCTGGTTCCTTTTATTGGAGAATGATATTTACTATTGTTATTATTTTATCTCAATAGATTTAAGGGGTATAAGTGGTTTTCTTGAGAATTATGTTTAGAAATCAGGATCTGGGCACTATCTGTGTTCATTGCTGCTGGGATATTAACTCCTCCTAGGTTTGGTCATTTGCATGCAAATTTATGACTAATCGGTCATTTACAAAGTGTTTTTTCTTCCTCATTCAAAAGTGTTGTCCTTGATAGCCAGTTCTGTTCTTTAGTAATCTATTTTTTCCCTTTTAAATGTTTACTGTCCTAGATATTTCTTAATGTTTATGAATGTTGATCACTACATACTTTGTTCCTAAGATGACAATCGCATTTGCATTTATTTTTCTGGCTGAATAGACAAAAAGATTTAATGAGATATCAAAAAATTTGTATAGGGTTTTAGTTAAAGTTAAAACAAAATGCCAATATCATACCTTAACTTTTTGTTTTGTATACTTGTTGAATTTTGCATGAAGTGGAAAACGATCTGGTTTATTGTTATTTTTGTTTCAACATAAATGACATGGTTTGTGGGTTTTTTGGTTTTACCATTTCAAGTGTACAATTCAATGTCTTCACAGTGTCTTGCACCATCACTACTATTTCCAAAACTTTCATTATCTCAAACAGAAACTCTAACCATTAAACAATAACTCCCTAGTCCCCTTCCCCACAGCCTTTGGCAACCACCATTCTACTTTCTGTCTCTATGAATTTGCCTGTTCTAGACATATAATATAAATTAGATCATACATTATTTGGTCTTTTGTCACTGTCCTCTTTCACTTAACATAATGTTTTGACATTCACCCATTGTATAGCACTGCAGTCCCCAACCTCCGATATTGGTCACTGGCCTGTTAGGAACCAGGCTGCACAGCAGGAGGTGAGTGGTGGGCAGGGGAGCTAGCGAGGCTTCGTCTATATTTACAGCTGCTCCCCATGGCTTGCATCACTGCATAAGCTCCATCTTCTTTCACATCAGTGTCACCACCCCTATTAGATTTTCACAGGGGTACGAACCCTACTGTAAACTGTGCATGTGAGGAATCTAGGTTGTGCACTCCTTATGAGAATCTAATGCCTGTTGATCCGAGGTGGGGCTGAGGCGGTGATGCTAGTGCTGGGGAGTGGATGCAAATACAGATTATCATTAGCAGAGAGGTTTGACTGCACAATAAATATAATGCACTTGAATCATCCTGAAACCAACCCCTCTCCCCAGTATGTGGAAAAATTGTCTTCCATGAAACTGATCGCTGGGGCCAAAAAGGTTGGTGACCACTGGTGTAGCATGTATCAGTACTTCGTGCCTTTTTATTGCTGAGTAATATTCCATTGCATGGATATAGATCGTTACTTTTTTTGCTGCTTTTTTTAATAGTTCTTTGTAGAATCCAATGGCAATAAGAAGAGAGGAATTACAACCATGTAGTATATAATATCCTTGGTGATTGTCTTTTCCGAATATAAAGGGAAATTCTATTTGCTGTTTAACCTGCTGCTTTATAATTAGGACTTCATTTGGACCTTAAGAATTAAAACTTTAACTCAACCAGTCATTCAATTTGTTCCAGAGCCTTTTTCCCAAAAAGCCTTGTGTACCTCTGTTTGTAACAGAACCCATACAAGGAACTTTCAGTGTTAGAACTATAAAGAATATGATTTTTGAGGTGCCACAGATACTAATTCCATCATATTAATTGGCCTGTTGTAGAATTTCTTTAAACTATTTTTCTTCACTGGCCTCACTAAAGAATTTTATTCCCTGGTTGACTTTGACTCTTAGAAGCCTTAATTGGGTTTGACTTCCTAAAGAAATCCCAGAGGAGCTATTTTTTCCAAACTATTTGATTCCTCACAGTTAAGAAAAAGTGTTGGCACTTTTTAATTCCATATTTGTGATGGCATATAGATTTTTCAGAGCTGTTGCTATTTCCACAGCATTTCAGAGTTTAGGAAAATTTTGTAACATTTTCCCCCTTTTCTGTTGGTATGGCTGGGATCTCTCTCAGGTAGTAAGAAAGTGTCAGAACTTAAAACCAGTTACTAAAAAGGCAGCACCGTTCAGATATTTCAAATGTCATCTAATCAGTAGTTTTGAAACTTAATCTCTAATCTTATTTCTCTTAGACTTTTGAGAGGGGTTAGTATGTAATTCTTTTCCTCCTACATAGAATTGTTAACTTTATGTCTTGTTTCACATAGATTGCTTATGGGAGATGAACGTGTAAAGAATGGCCTTAATTTCATGTATGAGGCCCCACCAGGAGCTAAAAAAGGTATTTGTCTCATTCTCTTTTTTTTTTTTTTTTTTTTCA